GCTCATTTCATTTTGCAACCGGTGATATCAATGTCGCGGAAAGCAGACTTCTGGCAGATATAGCTTGGGACTTGAGCATGGATAGCCAAGAGATGCACAGAATGGTAAAGCTGATCCGTGGTTCGAATAGCATCCCAGCGCTATGTAGCCACGGGCCCATCTCTAGCCAATTCTAGAAGCAGGCGCAATAGCGTGTGACCAGGCTGATCTGATTGAGTTGGGATGTACACAGAGACCAACTTTACCTTCCATGATTCAGGTTGGGTTTTGGCTATTCAGTTTGGATATCGTTCGTCACGTCAATTAATACTACTGTGCAGTACCTATTGGTTTTCTCATTCAACATCCACAGGCGAAATTCGATGGTCCAGGTACGTTTCTACGACGAAACGTTGCCATCAAAACGCTTGGCAGATGTTGCGATCACGACAAACAAGGGACCTGCAACATGGTTGTCGAGCAAGAAGACGAAACAACCATACTGTATCTACCACCAAGTTTCTGCTCAATTCAACCACCTTTCGCTTGCGATACAGTACTGTACATATCAAAGTACAGTACACAATGTCTCATCTTCCTCCTTTTCTCCTTGGCAATGGCGAGGTATCTCATCAGGGTGGTAGTACCAGGACTACCTCGACGGCCACGCTCACAGATGGTACAAGCACCTTTGGAATCAACACCCCCAGCCTCACCCACGACAGCATGTCGTCTGAGCTTACTGGGACACCGTGGACACCGGAGCCTGTGGTCTGATTGCGCGTATTCCAACAGGCTGCCGATGACATATTACAGCTCGTTGGGCGATTTAGGTTCAAGATGACACAGGAACGCTCACGACCCCCTCTATCAAAGGGGCGCTTTTCGCGGACCAGAAATCGTTCCGACTGGCGTGCCTGATGTACGCAGACAGAATCTCCTGTGTAATCACAAGGTTCCATGCCAAAGTTTCAGAAACAGCTACAGCGTTTCCCGACCGACACCAGGAAACACGTAGCCGAGAAAGGGCTCGTAGGAATGGAGAAGGGACCGTACAGCGAGTCTGCATTTCAACCCTCAGGTCCGAAGGACTAGGATGTGGACGAGTATGTATCCACATACCAGTATTTCATCAGTGCCATCAATTTAGCCTTGTATTCGGGCTTTCTACCCATCCTCACATAACCTAAGTAGATAGGACCGACTACATACAATACAGTACATACAACTCAAGAATGAGTAGGTTATTTGGGAGCTGCTTGATTACCTGAGTCAACGTTTGATACTGGAGTGGGGCGGGGGGATCAGTCTTCGTGGCTCTCTTCAAAGCTCGATTAGTACAGGAGATGATGTAAGAAAGGCTGATCGGAGGAGAGTATAAGGGGAAAGGCCCCGATCAGACATACACGGGAGGTACAGCGCACTTTTTCACTTCAATCAGACATATACATTTTGGAACTGAAGCAGAGCCTTTCTTATGACTTACTTTCGAACGTGATAACACAAGACGATTGAAAGGTTCACCCTTTCGATCAGACTTCGTAATATGCTCGATTAGGGGGCAGCGTCTACTCTGATCGAGGCAATTTCGGGCCGATCAAGGACCACCTTGTGTTGCATTGATAGGTTTTGGTGGTTTCCTTTGAATCACTGCACCGCTAGAGTCCCCCTTACTCTACACACTTTCAATACATCAGAGGGGATTTCGGCCTTAAGTTGCGCACTTATTATTTTTTGAGTGAGGTTATCGTGGGCTGCAAGAAGCACGTTTCTGCTTAGTCTCAACACTTTACCTCACCACCGCGCGCCAAGCCACCCAGTCTGCTTGTACCAAATTGTGAATGTTTTCATATCGGTCTTTAGAAGTGTGGTGATACGCGAGTGTCTATCGCAATCTTCCATCCGGCTTTCATCTGCCAGTCTTCTCATATTGGGATTATTCTCTCAAGACGATGTGTTGCTCAAAAGACTGAAAGTCTTGGGAAACCCGGCACGCTTGGGACTGAAACCCGGTTCGTATCCTTCAAATCTCCTCATTTAGGTCGATCGGTGCTAAAGCACATTGCTTTGGTTCGACGGCCTGTTCCTGGAAGCTTACTGTTGGTATCTTTATCACAGGGTAGTTGGTTCCAACCGTGGGTTGACGAAGAGGTCAATTAATTTATTCATATGAAATTCTGCGCATGACGTAAGAGAACGTTCCAACCGCGGGTTGGGCAGGCCGCGATTCTCGTAAGTATGGTTTGTAAGTGGTCCCTGCGCGGGCCCCTTGCCTCGAGGTCGAATTGGACTTCAAATCCGACAGTAAGAGCCTTGTCCCCCCCCTCCCCACCCCTTCCTTCTTCCCATCGGAAAAAAAAAACAAAAAGCAGAAGAGTGATACTATGGAGATATCGTATAGTTACAATAGGGGCATCGACGTTGAATGTAGAGAACGGTTGTCTATTGGAAGTAGGAAATGGATACGAAGCTCGCCCTGAAATTAAGGGTGCAAGCGTGGTGTAGACCACAGTGATGTAATATGGATCACGTGTCATGCGGTGAGGCCACGGATGGTTGAAGCCATCACGACAGGAAATATACAGTAGTATTTGGATAGATGGGGATTCCGAAAGAAGCCCCGGACGAACGCCTTTTTGCATAAGAATTACCCCATTGACCCATGCCGCAGCGGTAGGTCACGTTCACCGTCGGTCCGACCACAATGCCAGCATTCCTTTGCAGCCTTGAGTCCTACTCATCGTAAATGATGCCGATAGCTAAGCGGACATGACTCCGCAGGTGGCCTGGAACCCATGTATCAATGGGCTTCAGGGCGATAGCGTCTAAATCGGTATAGACTCCGCCTCTAGCTTCCAGGAGATCTCGAAGCAGGCTAGATCCCATGCCAACATTATCCAGTTATTCATACGTGTGGTGAATGTCGAAGATATCGCCATAGTGTGACTTCGCAAATCTGTTGCCGCTTCTGCCGTTGGCCACGTGCTGATGTGCTCCATCGTCTTCCGTATCACGGATTCATCTATGTCGTTGACTTTCGATAAAGTGATCTGCCAGTTATGGGGCAGTATGGAGTGCTCTGATGGTGAAAGAGACCAAAAATATGACCGATAATGACCGATGCTCGCTGGCGCATGAGATCCATAGGGCGAGGGTTTGTTGCCCTGAGGCCAAAAACCCGCCTCTCCTTCACTTGCCCCGTCGTGGTATACGCCTACTAGGACCCGTCCGAGACACGGGATGTACTGCCCCGGTAATAGTTTTTCCTCGCCTTTTGCGTTTTTCCTCTGGGCCAACGATCGTTTGCGCATTCTTTCTATGGGGCCGCCGTGTCGACATCGTAGCATTTCTACTTTTGGCAGAAGTTATGGTGCTGCCCAAATGGGGAAGCGTTGTGTGAACAATGCGCGGCACACGCGAAATACCTGTCCTGCTCAGCATTAGCGAACATCGCTTTGTATATACTTGGGAAACACTCGCATTTCCATGCATGCAAGTCCACTTTGTCGTTTCGCCTGCAGTCTTAGACTCCAACAACCACCATCTTTTCGGACGAGGCCGAGGGTTTCTTCGTGGGCAGGATTGGCGCACGAAGCAGTTGTGGCTTGCCTCGGTGCATACCAAAGGAAATGCGGATCAGTGCGATGCGTTCGCTCCGATTGAGTAATATTGAATTCTGTCTCGAAGTCCTTGACCGTATCAGCGTCGGAGTCCATGGTTTTGCGTGTCGAGGTGTGATAAATTTTATATGGTAGAAGCAGGGTGTAGCAGAGGTTGATTGATTGATTGATTGATCGATTGAGTGATTCCTACTCGATTTTGGCCGCTTTAGTCGGCAGCTATGCTCGGATAGCGGGGTTTGGCCAAAAGCCGACGCGGTCCGGACGTTAATCCGCAGCGCCCCACTTCGCCAGTGCAAAACACCGACCAGCTGTCTCCAAATCTCCCACTTTGCTCTCCAACCTCAACTAGAGGGGGTGATGACATTCTGCCAGAAGGGAGTGTGGTGTTCGCGGACTAACAGTAGCCCGATCCATACCAATATCATGTGATCGTTCCTGATGCGGGGAGAGCTTGAAAACAAACCAATGATCGATTGGAAGAGCCGCTCGCCGAGCGTATCCACTCCATAAACCCCGGCGGTAATCGCTTGGCTACCATTCACCAGCACTGAGACGTCTCATTTGTACTGATTTTCCCTTGAAATGTTGGAGGTCTTACTAAAGTTGGCCACGTCCCCTCGACGTTCTCTGGATACTGTTGATCAAAACTACAATAATCTCATCATCTTATTGCTTCTCTACAATGCCGCTGACTACACGTCGAGCTTGGGAAACCGACACTGAACTTGGTCAATTGCTTGATGATGAAGATTTCTACGACCGGTGTCCCGTCCTCGTGCACATACAAGAGGCGGCAACTTTTGCGGCCGTTCAGACCCATACACCCGTCGGAAATCTATGCAGGACGGAGAGCCTCGAAATTCCGACTACGGCGAGCGAATCTGACATTGAGACGCCACCTCCCGGATCTGGTTACAATGGTGGGATTGTGGGATTACTGGGCGCTAGTCTCCAGTACGAGAAGAAGCGGATCAAGTTGCCACCTTCTTTTCTCTTTGGTCGTCAGACGAAGATGAATGATGTTGTTCTCGGTCCGCTCTTCTCCCAAGTGAGCCGGCATCATTTTGCTCTTGGGCTCTGCAAGGGCCAATGGGCTGTCTTGAATCTCTCCCCTAACGGAACATGGGTAAACCAGTACTTCCTATGTGGAGAGGAGAATCTGTGCGCACTGCACCCCGATCAGGGTAATGAGATACGATTTGGAGGTCTGCGACTCACGATTTACTGTCGTCATCCAAGCATGGCCAAGGCTTTCGATCTTTGGCCCGCACGTTCTCTGAATGCACCAGGTTCGGATGGGGGAACGCCTGCGACCAGTATCGTCAGCTCTCCCAGGTCATTTGGTGTGGACTTTGACCCGCAAATTCCGCGAATATACTACCTGAAGAACAGGAGCATCTCTTATCATACGACTTCGAAAGTAGCCGCCGAAAGATTCCTCGCCCTAGACGCGAAAAGCTGTGATTTTTACATTGCCAAGCTTGTCGAATCTTCGGATGTACAGAAAGTCAAAAGAAAGGTTGAGCTTCTACAGCCATTGACTAAGATCCAATCCAGCAAATTTCTGCACGGTCACACTATAGTTGCAGATGCAGACCGAGCATATCTCCTATCCCACTTCAGAGACGACATACAGGAAGTAGGAAAGGTTTCAGAGCTAGTGCACGATGTGATGACCAAGCAACAATGCCAAGCAGTGGCGCGGCAACTCCTCCAGAACTTACTCAGGGCTGTCTCATCTCTACACAGCTTCAACATTTCACATGGAGACCTCGGGATGCACTCTGTCTTTTCCACCTCGGTGTACGACTGCGACCAGCTGTACATCTCTGGCTTCTCTGAAGCATCCGTGCTTACGGAGGAACGAGCAAAGAAAGACTGCCTCGCCATTTTCAAAGTCGTCAGGAGTTTCCTCCGCGAGGAACCCGACATTGCCTGGCTGTCCAATAAACACTTGGATCCACTATGGAGGATACTGTTGAGGAACGAAAGGGCGTGGTCCTCGACAGCCATTGGCCTGTGCGAGCAGATGAACTTTACACACGAGAATGGCGGTGAGATGTGGACGCTGATGACTGTATCTCGGCACGTCAACATCCGCTATAAGACTGAGAATAATGAGATATGGCTCAAGGCCGACGACATCAAAGAATTTGTATCATTGGAAACTATGAAGAAGACACTGGCGAACCCAGCCGCGGCTCAGCAGGATGTCGATAAGGCTGTTTCAGCTTTGAATCACTATGTTCGAGATGATTACATCTCGCGACGCGACTACGACAGCTTTTCATTACACATGGCACGGCACCACGCGAAGTTTCTTGGAGTCGAGCATCTTTTCCAGCCCGGAATCGCCGGCAGCAGCAGTCAATCACCGCCGATACTAGTGGCCAGTGTCAGCATCAAGCTTCCATACCATGTCCGGTACGGGTTCATCAGTCTCTCAGGCCTCATGAAGATCGCCTCGATATTTTCTCTCGACACTATCCCGGGAGCGATCGTGGATCTTCTTAGAAAGTGTTACGAAATTCGAGGTCACTGCGCAGGGACTTACGTTCCTGTTGAGGAGCTAGAGGAGCTTTCCGGTTTGCTTGGACTCGAATATCCTGACGGAGTCATACTCGATCAATATGACAGGTCGCTCGAACATTACACACACTCAGAAGGCTGGTTCCTACTATCACCTCATGAGTCGTCCGAACTTGTTCCGGTCACGAGGGAAACTCGTTTAGTCTCAGGTAAGTCATCACTTGGGTCGTACTTGAAGGAGCATATGTCTCATACACCGCTGGATGCAATGGTCGACCAAAGTCCACAAGATCTTCTTGCCCACCAAGGCAACTCAAATGCTGTCCATTCATGTACAATTTCTTCGTCGGACGATTCGGCAGCATTTACATTTTCCAAAAAACGTAAGGTGGAGTCTAGAAGGACCGAGGATTGGGTGCTCTGCGCGATAGGAAAGCGGAAAAGAAGTCGAGCAAGACGGGCAGACATGATCAGAACTGAATTTGTAAAATCATCGAGGCACAGCTAAAGGGCAGTGGTCGACAGCGAGACATGAATTTCAGCATTGTAGCTGAGCCCATTGTCGCTCAGCAACCAGCAAAACCCAATGACAACTCATTTGAGCCTCGGCCGTGACGACTTTCTCCAAGATCGAATGATTGTATGGTGAAATGCTCGACGGAATGATAAGGCGAAGATACGAGTGTGATGTTCCGACGATGCTTGGCAACCCGGAGTAATTGCAAGGATAAGAGGAAGGCTGACTTTTACGCTATCCGCATGGTCGGTTAGTGGCCGGGCTTTTTTTCCGATAATCAAAATGCAACGGTGGCGCCAGAGAGAATATGAATGTTTTTTCGAAGAAAAAAGTGAAGACATCAGGAACTGTTGGCGGTGGGTTGTGTGGAAGTTTATGGGAGGGTAGATAGATGTAGGAGGTGTAAGAATGATGGTGAGTAAGTCCAAAACAGTTTATTGGAAATATTGTCAGTTACTGTAATGCAGAGTTTGAAGGAGATGAGAATGTTGCGGGGAGAACGACTTACATAGCATGAATGCTTGAGCTATTGTCAGAAACCTGTTCACTGAGTCCTCCAAGCTGGTCATACTCATGCACTGTCCTATACTGTACCACACTGTACGCTCTGATCATACATACAAGGCTATTGAATAGCCTGATTATGCCCAGCAGGCCACTATCATCTCTTTGAAGTCCTTTGCCTCACGCGTAATCGTATAAGACAATCGAGCGTATGTACTACGGCTTGAAAGGATGTTAGCTTATGGCCTCGAGGCATGATGTCTCCATGATCCTCTTACAGTACATGCTGTAGTTGTGCCTGCAGTTCAGTATTAACTTCCCAGTTCCGTATTACCATGCTAAAGCACCTGCGTTGTATGGATATACGGTACAGTATGTACGGTAAATACAACATACACATGACTCGGTCGACTATGTGAGCTCTACTTTGACCGTAGCTCTAAAGGTAAAGTGAAGTGTTCATTGCGCACAACTACTTCCAATCAGGGAACTCTGGCAATTGCATTCTATTGTACTCCTACGGCTTAGATACACCAGTCGTGCCTACGGCTCGAAAACCTCACGTGATACGGTCCCACAGCGCCTCCTTGAGCGATTGCAGCGACACGTCCGGATCAGAGAAGATCATCTGCAGCTCCCTCACCCCAGGCTCGTGTGGATCCAGAAGACCAGAACGTGCGTCCCGTGCGCTGGCCTCTAGCGCTAATGCCTCGTCAACACAACCGAGCCCCCCAGATCCGTTTATGCCGTCGAACTCGTCAGATTCGACCGACGTGAGAAGAGCGGTAGGCCACTTGAGACATCCAAGGTCTTCCAAAACGTCCATCAACGCAAAAAACCGAGCAATGGTAGTAGAGCTGTCGGACGAGTATTGGCAGCTCCGGTATAATTTCGTGAGAAGAAACTGGAGCGGCGTCTGGTCGCCCTCTGTTGATCGGACCCTCGACACATCCACTCCCTGGTCGAGCAAATACTCTACCTTGGACTTGAACAGGCTCGGCCTCCCCTCATTTAGCGCGTTGAACAAGACTAGGCCGACATCCCAAGAGTCGGTCTCCGCGTTGACGTCGGCCCCGTTATCGAGAAGAAAGTCTATGACTTCATTCGAATGGGCATGCGAGCTGGCCGCTTCGATCAGAGCGAGGTTCAGCTCTGTCTGGTAGTCCCACGAACTCAGTCCGCCCTGGCCGTCTACCTCCAGAACTAATATGTCGCGGAGCTGCTGTACGATCTTTTCCATTGCCCGTTTCTTCCACTTCCAAAACTCCCGCTCGGACGAGTATTGAGCGCTTGGCTTGTACCAGAACTTCATGTGATATCCGCTTCTTGCCGCCAGCGCTAGGGAGCCGAGATAGCAGCAGGAAAAGTCCGGGGAGCCGGGGTCGACGTTTGCTCCCTCGCACAACGAGCGACGAGGCAAGAAGGTCCCACACAGAACCCGGGCTCCTATATCTAAGAGGGCGTTGGCCGCGCGAAAGCTGCCCTTCAACAAGGCCTCGTGAACGTGGGCGCTCAGCTCACGGTCCGCAATGGCCCATTTTGGATTGGCTGGGGCATCCAGAGCTTGGCACAGAAACTCAGGCCTATCATACGTCACTGCTCTTGCCAGTACTGCGGGGTCTCGCATAGCTCTGGGTAAAAGCACCATGTTGGCGGTCGCTTAGAGACAGCTAGACGACCCAGCCGAGGAGCTTATCAAAGACAGATCGTCTATCGAATGGAGAAAGTCCAGTATAGGCACAGCTGTTTTTGTATTAGAACCCTAAGAAGGAGACGTACTGTAGCCGTGTCGATTGTTTTGATGCATGGTTTCAGCGAAAGTACTTCTATTGTTAGTACATACGTAGGGCTGTACCCAGGTGCTCATTCTGTTCAAGACCGGCGAAGGGATTGCTGACGGGCAGTGGTAAGCCTTGGAGTTGGTAGAGGCTGAGGCTACCTCGAGAACGGCAGCATGAAGCTGACGAGCTATGCCGTTGATCTGACGCCCTACATTAATACATGTCGAATGCTTGTATAGCAGAAACGTTGGAACTGGTGTGCATGGTACAGTTCTACTGTATTGGATCCCATAGCCCTTGAGATACAGTATGCGTAGAGTCCATTCCCCACTAGGCCTTCGTGTGTGGCTTGCAGAGGTCATCAGTCTTCAAATGTGTATACACTGAATCGTTGCTAACGGATGCTCGCCAAACGCCAAGTCGGTCTACCACACCTCGGCCTCTCAGCATAGCCTTGCAACATCCCATTTGGTCTCGAAAACGACGTCGCCCCCTTTCCGTGGCTAGTCGTCTTGCGCGTAGAGTAGTTGATGTATCATGCGGCGGCTGTTTTGCCGACGATCCGGCGCGGCATGAGAGGTCTTCGGCGCCATCGCCTGATGACAATATGAGAAATCACTCATATGCAAGAAGCTCGTGGTAGAACAATGGTACGTGCCACAGGCGGTGCAACGAATCCGTAGTGGGTGGGTAACAGGCAGTTCCGGCGGGAGCACGTACGTAGCTGATCAGCCGACTCGGTGTCGCAAGACCGGCTGCCTGTCGCTTACCATGTCAGCATAGAGAATAAAGATGCATGGGCCTACTACTGTGTTTCCTGAGCCGTAGCAGCTAGAGTCCTCAGATTATGCTGTACAGTACAGGGGTCAGCGAAAAGGGATTCATCTCATATTCAATACACTTTTCTCTTTCCGCACGGACGTTTGATATCTTGGCACCAACACAGTCTGGCTTAGTACGGGAGTACTTAGCCCAGAAAAACCTTAAGTTGATAGGGGTGCTCCATCTATGGTTCGGAGCAAACATTGGCTTCGATGTCATCACTAGCAGGGATTCTAAGTGGATTGGAAAGCCAGTTCTGGATTACCCTGGATTACCTAACCTCTGTTATTGGAGATGGAGAGCGTGCCCAAGTGTGTGGGTCGGTCGTCGAATGACGTGTATTGTGTTTGGCATGTATATCTGCAAGCCAGGGTTTGATATACACTGTGTAAGCATCAAAAACGGCTTATGTGTCTGTGCGGAAAGAGATCAGAGAGTTGAAGAAGGTGAAGGCCTTTTCGCGAACTCCTGTATGCTCGGACAGTCTTAAGCAATGAACTAGAAGATAAGTTTCATTTCCTACTTTTGAGAAGCAACAGTCATGGGCTTCTGCGGCGGCCTGAGATTGGTCTTTGCGTGCCGTATCCTTTCGAGGGGAGCAATCAGCTTCCAACGAGCCAGAAACACAGTTCCATTTTTGGAAGCCGGTCTTGGCTGCAATGACGGAGTTCGTGATTCCCAGTGCAGTGTATAACCCCTGTTGGAAGGGTCAAAAGCGGTGCAACAGTTTCTACTGCTACAACCAGAGTTGCGCTAGTCGTCAAAAACAGAAGTGGATGAGAAAGATACGTTATTAACCCCAAGGTACTAGCGCCAGATTCAGCGCCAGATCTGATCGTAGCCAAGAAAAGTCTCAGACGATGAAGGTGGTCCCGTCTGAGAAGGTGGGGTGGATGATCACGTCCAAAAGATGCTCTACCGGATGGCCCCGCCAGATGCTGGCGCCAGATCGGGCCGCATCCACCTACGCCCGGGCCGGAAGCCGTCCACACTTTCGTCGCCTAGTCTGGACTTGGTCTAGACCCCGCCCGCCAAAAGACAACCGCCGGCCGTTTGCTCCTCTGGAAGCCGCAAATGTGTTGTTTTCCGCCAACCCCTGCCACAACGCTCACCAAGCGATCCTCCAAGATGCAAAAATGCTTGTTTCCCCAAAGGCACACAGTGGGGCCTTGAAGCCATTGCACGATGAGCAAACCTGCCTTTTACCAGGTTACAAATTTGCAGCAGAGGAGAGGATGTCGATGAAAGTTTCAGTAGGGAGGTCTCTTTCCACTTGGAATCGGGACTTTTCTTGGTGGGCTGGGCTCCCAGCCCCACCCCACCACTGAGATGATGTTGATCGTGTGTTGACGCTGCCATATTGTATGGCGGTGCCGTTGATAAACTTCCAACGATGCCGGGCAACGGCTTCTGCACTTTATTCCGTCGATGATCATTCCAACGATGCCAGTCCACGGTTTCTGCGTTTCCTATGTGTTCCGTCGAGCGGACATTCTCGACGGTGGCGAAAACGGACTCTACATTTCATTTGATTTCCGTTGATGACCATTCCAACGGTACCGCCGAGATGCTGTTCCTCGAGCGATGTGGGCGGCGAAATTCGGACCCTGCAACCTCCTCGTGGTGCCGCCTGGGA